GAAGCAACTTTTTCCGACAGAAATTTTACTTCGCACTAAAGAACGATCCAGTTGGAAATTTGGGTAATTTTTTTTTTTTTTTTTTTTTTGATAAAATGACATCCTATCCATTTCAATTAATATCTGTTTTTTTCTGTGTTATGCGAAGTGTAAGGTCGCCTTTAATCGTCAATGCAGCATATATCAACCTTAAAAATATGATCCGTAAGTATAATTGTTATAGATTGATGAATTTCGATATCTAATATGGTTGATGATTATTATTTGTAGATATTGCTGCTAGCATTTTAAATTCACCAATATTTGATCCAGAATTACCGTTTTATATAAATTACGGAATTTTCGGCTATGTAATTGCACATGAAATTACCCATAGTTTAGATGAAAACGGTATGACATATAATAAAGTTGGTTTTAAAACAGAATGGTGGACAAATAAATCGATAACAAAGTTTGAAAATCTAACTGAATGTTTTATTCATCTTTATGATGAACACAATGATCAATGGAAAAAATTATACAATAGTTATAGAACATTAGGGGAAAATATTGCCGATAATGGTGGAATACGTATCGCATATCAAGCCTATCGTTTAAGATATAAACGATTAAAATATTTTGGTCAAAATGCTAAATTATTGCCCAATTTATCAACAAATTTCACTATCGACCAATTATTTTTCATATCATATGCACGATTATTTTGTAGAAAAGAAACAAAAAATCATGAAAAATTAACGGCTGAATATGATTATCATTCACCAAATAAATATCGTGTAAATATTGTACTCGGAAATTTTGAAATATTTTCAAAAATTTTCAATTGTTCTCGAAAATCGAAACTGAACTTTAATCAACGATGTATAATGTGGTAATAATACAATTGTCAAAAGATTTATTTGTTCAATTTGATCGAAAATGAATCCAAAAAAAACATTGTCTTTTATGGTGATGATAAGCGGTTCATTTGTTAATGCCTGTATTGAATAATCACATTTATGAAACATATATTTTAAGAAAAAAACTTCACATGAAAAATTAGGTTAATTAGAACAATGTGGATCAGAATAATAATTCAATTAATTTTTCGAATAAATTTGTCTTTAATTTTTTTAAATTTTCATTTAAAAGAAACATTCCTTGTAGTAATTTTAACATTATTTGGTTGAAGTTAATAAATATGAAAGTAACAACTACTATTCTATCTTTTTCATCGATCATATTGTTGATAACATTATTATTCAACAATATTGTGCACCATATTTACGACCATGATAATAAAGGTAAGTATTTTTTCAGGCTAAAATCCTTTTTTTAATTGAATTTTTTCTTAACTCTCTTGCCCCTTACAAAGCGATGGACATGTTCTGCATGACTGAAACCTGTGATAATTATAGTGAAAATGTACTGAAATTAATAAATAATTCTGTTGATCCATGTGACAACTTTCATCAATATGCATGTGGAACAATGATTCGGAATGTTTCCGATAGAGGTTATATTACTGATTTGATTGAGAAAGTTCGTGATGAGGTCGAATATATACTTAAAAAAGGATGGGATCAAAAGAAAAACAAGACGAATAGAAAAATTGTTAAATCTAGGTCTCTAGCTACAGATTTGGCTATTCGAATCTTTCAACAATGCACAAGAATAACAAGTAAAATAGCAACAAAAGAAGAAATTTTAGAAGCAATCAATAAACAATTTAACGGTCTACCGATTTCAACAAATTCATCATGGCCATTGGAATCGAATAAGAACTCCATAAATATAAATTGGCTAGATTTTTATGCACACTATTCAAATGCATTTGGTTATGAGCCAATATTCAGAGTTGGGTATTATTTGATGAATAACCTTTATATTCAGGTGTGTTTTTATTATTATATACATTAGTTTCAAGTCACCACTATTCACATTTCATAATGAAAACGTTTTATTTTAACAGATTGATTTTTGCTTTATGGAGTTTCAAATTTTTAATTGTAAAGTTTTGTTAAAATATATGATGTCAAACAAAACAAACGAAAAGAGTGAAAAAGAATACGAAAAAATTTGCAATGAAGTGATCGATTTTAGTGTCAAGCTAACTAAATTTAAGCTAAAATTTGGAGAAAAAAAATTGTATCATTTGAAAGAAATTGAATCTGATACTGGGCTGAATTGGGAAAGTTTTTTTCAAATAACACTTAATTATGGAAAATCATTTAGGAAAGAGAAAAACCCTTCGATTATCTATGATAATGAACTTATTATTGTTGAAGATGCGCTTCTTGATGCTCTCAAATTCATTGAAAACACTCCCAAACATATTGTTTTTAATTATTTTTGGTTGAAAACGATAGCATATTTTCTTAGCAATATAAAAACGACTGGATTTTGTCCTGTTAGTTTCTTTTCTGATCAATTCCCATTAAGCTTTGCAATCGCACGCTTATATGTTGATTATTCATTGAAACCTGGCTCGAAATTGAAAGCTATTCATATGGTAAACCAATTAAAACAATCGGCAATTGAATCGATAGAAAAGAATACATTATTTGATGATGAGACACGCGAAAAAGCTATTGAAAAACTTCGGAGCATAATTGATTTTGTCGGTTTGCCTGAAAAGTTTATGATTGATGAACAACTTGATGAATTTTATGGACTTCAAAGTTCGATTGATCCGATGTTTGGAGATAATTATTATGAATCATATGCTAAACTGTTAAGACACTATAAACATATAATGTTTGGAAAGATGGGAAATGATTCTATCAGTCTTCGAGGGTAAGAAAAAATAAGCAAATGATTTTGGATTAATAAAAAATCATTTCTTTTTTTAGAATTAATTCCTTTTCACCATTAATATTTAATGGTTATTATAGCATTTTGGCTAATAGTATCGGTAAGACTTTATTCATTTTAGAACTGATAAAATTTAGAAAATTTTTCTCAACATCTCTAGAAATCAAGCCAATCTTATTAAGATTGCCATTATTTGATACTGAACTACCGTTTTATATCAATTACGCTAAATTAGGTTATATAATTGGCCATGAAATTTTTCATTGTGTTGATAAAACTGGTATTAAATATGATAAGAGTGGAGCTTTGCGAGAATGGACCACAGACAAATTTGAAAAAAAATATGATGATAAAACACAATGTTTTATTGAACAATATAGAAATTACACTGAACATTACTATGGTCTTTCGCAAGATAATTCTACTGTAGGTGAAGATGTCGCTGATAATGGCGGTTTACGTGTAGCATATATGGCATATCAACATGAAATGAAACGTATTCAAAACCTTGGAAAGCAACCGCAATTATTCCCTAAATTAGTTGACAAAAAAATGACAGTTGAACAAATCTTTTTTCTAGCAACAGCTCAGGTAAAAATCATAAAATATTTTTTCCAAAATAATAATCGAATCAATCTTGGGAAAAATAGTTTCATTGTAGGTTTGTTACTCGAACTGAATTGAATGATTGGTTCACTCATGATATACATTCACCCCCCGAATCTCGTGTCAATGTATGCTTACAAAACTTTGATAAATTTGCAGAAAGTTTCAATTGTTCGATTGGATCACCAATGAATCCAGAAAAACGTTGTCGTTTATTTTGATGTGAATTGGGTGGTTTATTTGTGGAAATTGAAATTTAGAACAATGTGGATCAGAATTATAATTCAATTAATTTTACGTTGTAAACTATAACTTGGAGATTGTAAAATTGTTGCTTGATTAAAACAATGT